TCACGGGCGAAAGTTCCAGTGCTGCACGTCCTTGCCAACACCAGTTCAAGTTCATGTTTCCGAGTTGACTGAGTCTGTAGCTGCATCTCCTTGTACTTCTGCTTTGCGTTTCCCTTAATCACAAGGAAGCTGATTATGGGCCTTTTGGGTTTCCCTTCCCCTTTGGTGGCATGCCCACCAAGTGTTCCACCCATTTTTTCTATTGAATTGTCTCCCTTTTCGCTGATGGTTTGTAGCCAGTCACTTATCCAGCTAGACTCATGGAGTGTGAATTCCTGGCGCGTCTGGCTCTTGCCAGCTTATGTTTGTGAGGTTTGTACGTGTTGTCTGTGGAGCTTGGCGTGAATATACTACAGCGTATCCAATCTGCTGCTGACAGACGTTTAGATCCTTCCACTGTTTAGTTATGTGACCAGTGATGCTCTGCATGTATTCTTGTGTTTGGTATCATGTTGATGAACACACGTTCTTACTTTTAATATAGTCGCTTGTATCAACAATTTCCTTTATGATTGGTTCTGTTTACTATTCGGGACGTCTTTCCCTACAGCAAGGTAGTAAGGATAATCCTTCCGTGGAGCTTCTAAAAGCTTTATAGTTTGTCTTTTGTACTCCGGTAGAAGCCATCTAGAAAGAGTCATGATATCTCACAGAGCAAATCCTCCCACTTTATTTTTTGGATTTTAGCAGGGTGGGGAAGTGGCTTCAAAAGCACCTTGGCCGTTCTTGGTGTCTTGCACATTTTGTATACGCGTTACGTTCTGTCTGTCAAGTTCCATCAAAACAAACAGAAAACTTGTTGGGATCTTATTGATTAGGTATTGATTCTTTAAATCAGTTTGGGGAGAGGGGCGCCTGGGCGGCTCCGTCGGTTGAGCGTCTGACTCTCAATTTTGGCTCAGGCCATGACCTCGCGGTTTGTGAGGTCGAGTCCTGGGTGGGGCTGTGTGCTGACAGCGCAGAGCCTGCTTGGGATTCTCTCCCCCTCTCTCTGCCCCTCCCCTGCTCACACACATGCACTCTCTCTTTCTCTCAAAATAAACAAATAAAACTCTGAAAAAAAATTATTTTATAAAAGTTTGAGGAGAACATGCCTCTTGACAAAATTGAGCCTTTCTACCCATGAGCATCATAGATCTGTTGCCATTTGTTTAGGTGCTCAGTAATATGTCTCCATAAGCTTTTTTTTTTTTTAATAAGGATTTTATTTGTAAGTAATCTCTACACCTAACATGGGGCTCAAACTTATAACACCGAGATCAAGAGTTGCACCCTCCACCGACTGAGTCAGCCACGTGGCCCTCTGTAAGCTTTTATAATTTTCTCTGTAAAGATCTTGCTTTTTTTCCAGCTTACTTCTAGGTACCTCATATTTTTTATGCTGTTGGAAAGGGTATCTTTGTTATTACATTTTTTGTTTGCTGGTATTAGGTGATACAGTTAATTTTTTTTAACGTTTATTTATT